GGAAAATGTTTATTTTCTATTGTACTGTACCTAGAATGCTGTCTACCTTATCAGAATTAATTGATGTTGATTAACATAGCTGCCTCAATAGAGTGACCTCTTAGTTTTAACTAGAATGAACCTAATTTAAATTAAACTAACTGAAACAATGTTATAAATCATGGTTTATTTCAGCAGCCAGCACAATGGATTTAATCACTTCCCCCAAATGTACAATCTCATTCAATGTAACATTAATATGTTGTCTTCATATCTCAGGAGCAGACTGCATTTATATCAATAGTATCTCTTTTCTAAGCTTCTTTCACAAGCAAATCTCTCCTTCATAGTATAACTCAACCATTCACCTGTGTGATCACTACTACTTAGCCAGCTTTGCTGACTGCATTTTCTCCTAAAAGACTGCAGTATGTTATTATCTCAGCTGGTGTCAATCAAGTTGGTCAACTGAGTGACTTTAAAAAATATTGAATCTTTGGAAAAGTTATGTATTTTTGCATAGAAAAAATATATGTCATGACTTTTCCGACAACCCAGTATGTTTTGAGGGACTGGCAGGTGGTGTAGTGGTTAAGGCACTGGACTCCCACATGGCTGTGTGTAGTTTGAGTCCTCAATCTGGCAGCTTGCTTTCTTTCCCTTTCTCTTTCTCTTTGTCTTTCTCCAGTCAAATTATACAATAATAATAAATAAAATGAAAAATTCTTTAAATAATAGGGTTTGAAAGGACTAGAATTATTTTGACAAAAATGAGTTATATAAAACATTAACCACTTAAGAAAAGATTCACAAATAAATATCAATGTCACTTTTTTTTATAGAGAAATTTTTGCTATCGGGCATGTGTGCTCACTGGAGACACAAAGAGAGAGAGAAAGTGAGAAGCCATACATCGGGGAGTATAGCCATTGTGCAATGTCTTCTCTCAGGCTTTTGGGCATGCATACACACACATCTAGCATGAGTTTCAAGCTACTGGTTCCAGGACTCGAACCATTGTTGACCATGTGGGAGTCCAGTGCCTTAACCACTATGCCACCTGCTGGCCTCTAATGTCACCGTTTAATCCTCCCTGATGCTGTTATCAATATTTTGAGTAAGGGCTATAGTATGTGCCCCTCAACCCAATATTTCGTCTTAGAAGAGTCAAGGTATTTAATATCATTCTATAAATAATGTGTGGGAGAAGGAAAGATGCAAATTTCTCTTTTTGGATCTATCTTATCACCTGAAGTGTTTAAAATATCTCTTTTCATGAAGTAGGTACTGAAAATTCTATATGTTGTAAAAAAATATTTGAGGGGGACCAGCAGTTAGCATAATGGCTATGTTGCTGGACTCCCACGTAGTCGACCGCAGTTCACGTCCCGGACCCGGTGGCTTAAAACTCACGCCGGGTGTGTGTGCGTGCGTGCCCAAGATCCCAAGAGGAGAATGGAGGAGAAGGGATTGCGGCGTGACCATCCCCCCTGGGGGGTGATTTCTCGCTTTTTGTCTCTATGTCTCTCTCTGTCTGTCTGGCGAGTGCATGCACCCTATAGCGAAAAAAAAATAAACTTCTCCAAAAAAAATTTTTTTTGAGTGAGTAGAGTTGAGCATAGTTTGCTTTGTGAAGTCTTTTTAAAAAATTATTTAATTTTATTTATTGTTTTTAGCTCTTAAAAGAGGCCCTTTAGACAATTATTTTACAAATGTGAAATAAGACCCTTCAAACAAATACCAATTTCAATAATAGTTTACATACAGCAATAATTTATTCTGAAATGTTCATTTCGTTTCTGTTGAGACACGATTCATGTCTCATTAATAAAAGAGCAGCCATCTCACCTCAAATACCAGAATATACAACAAGTTACAGCATAGCAAAAATTCTACCTACTTGCAGATAAAATCTAGTTCAGGTAAAATAGTTTCATTCAATGTTTTACAGTAACACAGATTTTCTTTTTAGAGCACAAAACAGTGTAAATTGTTACACTGCAGCTATGTCTATGCACACGTCATGTGACCACAGAACTGTTCGATGCTTCTGAGACTGAACCATCGGTTTCATTCATGCAGTAAAGCAAAGCAGGCTGGGAAACGTGTTCATCGGGAACCATATCACTGTGAATTTCACAGCCACATGATTAATTATGATGTTAGATGGACTCGCAAAGATTAAAACATATTCTTTTTGCATAAATACCAATTTCTCCCTGATGTTTTATAATCTAAAAATGATTGATAACAGCAATTACCTACCTGTAGTGTTATTTAAGACAAGCAATAATTAAAGGGGGGTGGGAATGGGATGCTACTTAAATATATGTAAAACCTACTGTACAATATACTTGGCTTTACCGATTTTTTTCCTAACTATCAAGAGTGCCTCCCAAAATATGACCAGTGAAGACAAAGCATACTGTCAAATATGGCTTCCAGAACAAAAACTTTCTAACAAGAATCAAACCTATTTACAAACTTTTTCAGTCTCTTACAGTTTCATCTGAAACAAAATCTCTATATAGCAGTTGTAATTAACACATAATTCTCTTAGTTTCATCGTCCCTATTCTTTAAACAGATGTCACAAGGTAAGACCCAGAATGGCGCTTCGGACTTTGCGTCCCGCTGGACTCTGTGCTGTCAGTTTTGGAATCTCGCTTCTTTGTGCTGTTGCTGACCGGGGTCGGGATCTGCGAGGGCCGGGCTGAAGTGCTGTCGGCGCTGCTCTTCCTAGGGCTCGGGTTGTAATTGAAAGGAGTCACTCTGGCAGCCACAGTCCCCCTGGGTGAGCTGTGTTTGCTGGAGCTGCTAGAGCTGAACGGGGTTCGGTCGGCCACGGAACTCTCGTTAGTGTCTGACGCGGGGACGGGATTACTTTGTCCGGGTTTTGTCTCGGTTCCTTTTTGGGCCCCATGAAGCCTTTATTTGAGGTTTTCCTCTGATATTTAACTGAAAATTATTTTTAAGTGTTTTTATTGCTTATTGTAGCAGGCTAAAAATTTGTTAATTTGGGGGCCAGCAGTTAGCATAATGGCTATGTCACTGGACTCCCATGTAGCCGACTGTGGTTCGAGTCCTGGACCCGGTCGCTTAAACTCACACTGGGTGCGTGTGCGTGCGTGCCCAAGATCCCGCCCGAGAGGAGAATGGAGGGGAAGGGATTGTGGTGTGACCATCCCCCCTGGAGGGTGATTTCATGCTTTCTGTCTCTCTGTCTCTGTCTTTCTGGTGAATGTACGCGCCCTATAACAAAAACCTCTCCAAAAAAAAAAAACCTTTTAATTTTAGCAGCTTAAAATCTTTTGAGATGTGCTTTTACACTATTGTTATAAATATTAATAACATTTCTGCTAGTTTGATGATCAAAATGTTGCAAAATAGGGACATATTGGTTATGGAGCTTTTATTACATGAGTTTGGGAAAAACTTCAATTTTGGTAATATGAAGAAGATCAATTGTTGAGTCTACATCATGCTTGGGTATTAAGGAAGTCCATGGCCTAATAAGATTTATCTATATGGAGTCTGGAACTCAGACTCTAGAAAATGGTGACATCATTTGTACAGATTCAGTAGCTGGTTAATGTTATTGCTAATTGGGCATGTCAGTTTTTTTTTCTCACGAAGTGAGGTCAAGACTTCAAGAGCCATCATAAGTTAGCTATGACTGTTTAATGCTTGAAAATTTTGGGGACTGGCAGGTGGCATGGTGGTTAAGGCACTGGACTCCCACATGTCTGACTGCAGTTCAAGTCCTGGACCTGGCAGGTGGCTTTCTCAGTTTCCTTTTCTCTCTCTGGTCAAAAGAAAATAATGACAAATAAAATTAAATAAAATGAATATTTAAAAGAGAAAATATTAATAAGCATTTCAGTTTTACAGAGCAGTTATTCAGGTCTCCTTTCAAAATTTCTACATTTTCTGGCTTTGGAGACATTGTTAACTTCTACTTTGTAATTTGAAGGCTACCTATAACAACATTACTATTTGTGAAGTTAGTGTATTTTACCTTCTGATAATATTATTTTTAAAATACTTATTTAATTTTATTTATTTTTATTACTATTTTTAAACTTGCTTTAGGGCACATATACTCACCAGAGAGAGACAGAGAGAGAAAGAGAGGGTAAGGAAGAAAGCAAGCCACCAGGTACGGGACTTTAACCATGATTGGCCATGTGGGAGTCCAGTGCTTTAACCACTATGCCACCTGTTGGCCCAAATATGTTAAGTAATTGAGTTATAAGCAAGTGTTAATATTATTAAGTTATAAACTCTCAGGCAATACAAACTTTATTTGAAAATTGTACTTTGGGGGCGCACAGGTGGCATGGTGGTTAAAGGTGCTTGATTCTCACATGGCTGACTATGATTCAAGTCCCAGACCTGGTGGCTTTCTTTCTTGCTCTCTCTCTCTCTCTCTTCGTGTGTGTGTGTGTGTGTCTGTCTGTCTGGTCAAATAAAAAATAACAAATAGAAATAAATAATTATAACAAAAATTGTACTCCACATTTAGCTAAAAGAAACTCTTATTATTTTTTTAAAGTTTCTGCTATAGAGTGTATGCCCTCTCCAGAGAGAGAGGGAAAGTGAGAAATCACTACCCCTGGGGGGATGGGCACATTACAGTCCCTTCTACTTCTTTTTCCTTTCAGGATTTTGGGCATACAGGCACACATGCCTAGCATGATTTTCAAGTCACTTTCTTGCTTTCTCTCTCTCTTACTCTGTCCCTCTCTGGTCTAATTAAAATAGATAAATAAAATTAATAAATAAATAAAGTGAAACATTTATTTATTATTATTTATTATTATTTTAAAAATTTGACCAGAGAGAGGGAGAAACTGAGAAAGCAATCCACTGGGTCTGGGACTCAAACCACAGTTGGCATGTGGGAATTCTGTGCTTTAACTACCAGGCCACCTACTGGCCTCTAGGAACAGGTTTAAGCATGATTTGCTACTTTTAGTCAATGGTAATGACTCAAAACACATTTGTCATCTATTATTTCAGAAATTATTGAAAACCTGATTGTTGAAGGTAATTTACCTAGCATACCTGAGGCAATTGATAGAATCTTCATGGACATGGCAAATATCAACAGGGAGTCTGTGGCTGAAATGCAAGATGCTCAGGTTGGTATAAAAAATTTTGTTTGCAGTAAGTTTGGATGATTCACAGTGAAAAAATAGTGTTCATGGTTAAACATTGATTAAACATATAGAAATTTATTTTTGATTCTTTTTTTTTTGAGAGTTTTTTGCTTATAGGGTGCATGCGCTAGGGCATGTGTGCTCACCAGAAAGACAGAGACAGAAAGCGAGAAATCAACCCCCCGGGGGGATGGCCACGCCAGAATCCCTTCTCCTCTATTATCCTCTCGGGATCTTGGGCATGCACGCACATGCACCCAGCATGAGCTTTAAGCCACCAGGTCCAGGACACGAACCGCGGTCAACTACGTGGGAGTTCAGCAACATTGCCATTACACTAACTGCTGGTCCTAGAAATTTATTTTTGGATTGTCAAGCCTAATGGCATATTTAGGAGAAATAAGGTTTTAGAAACTAATGGAAAGGGGTTGGCAGGTGGTGTGGTGGTTAAGGTGCTGGACTCCCATATGGTCGACCATGGTTCAAGTCTTGGACCTGGCAGCTTGCGTGCTTGCTCTCTCTCTCTCTATGCCTCTCTTCCTCTTTCTCCTTCTCTCATCAAATTAGAAAATAATAAATAAAATTAAATAAATATTTTTTTAAAAAGAAACTAATGGAAAATATGTGCTCAAGTTTAGTGTTTATTATTTATCCTCTTTAAGACTCAGTTTTCCTATAAGATAAAGGATAATAATACCCACCTCTTGGTGTTGTAAATAATAAGCGAAATAACATATGTAAAGTCTCGGGTAGATAGTGGTTTGTCCATAAATAATAGTTCTCTTTTCCTTCCCTTTCCAGCAAAGTAGGACACTACTTTGTAGTTGAGTATAAACTTTCAGAGGTGCTTTCTTTGGGTAATTTTTCTAATGTATAAATGAAGGTCTATCACTTAATGTAGGAATTGCTTTGAGTCTCTGAAACACTTTTGGAAACGTTTATATTGGGTAAGTACTTCATTTTGGGGACTTCATAGGAAAAGATATGAAGAAAGTTTATTGTGAATCTTCCTCTTTAAAAAAATATATAATATCTTTACTTAGGTATAATTCATGTAATACAATTCACCTATTTAAACTATATGATTCAATAGATTTTTAGTATTACACAGAATTGTGCACTTATCACCATAGTTTATTTTAGAACATATTCATCACCCCAAAAAGAAATCATGTACTCATTCACAGACACTGTTCATTTCTTCCCATATCTTCTTTCCCCTCACTCCTAGGTCTAGGCAACCAGTAATCTATATTTAGTCTTTATGGATTTATCTATTCTGGACATTTTCCATAAATGGAATCATGTACTATCTGGTCTTTTGTGACCCACTTCTTTCATTTAGCACAATATTTTATTTTAAAAAATAATTATTTTATTTAGATTTATTTATTTATTTGACCAGAGAGGGACGGAGTGAGAGAGCGAGAGAGTGAGAGGCAGAGAGAGAGGAAAGCGAGGAAGCAAGCCAGCAGGTCCAGGACTTGAACTGTGGGAGTTCAACATCCTTAACTATGACACCACCTGCTGGCCCCATCACTTAGCACAATATTTTCAAGGTTTATCCAGGTTGTTGCATGTGTCTATACTACATCCTGTTCATACATGTATCTATGTTTCTACTTTTTGAATATTATGAATAATATTGCTATGAATATTCATGTACAGGTTTTTATTTTTCATTTTTAAAATTATTATTTATTTATTTTTAGAGAGATTTTTGTTATGAGGTGCTTATGGTTTGGCAGAGAGACAGAGAGAGAAAGAGAGACATCACCCCCCAGGGAGGATGGCCATGCCACAATCCCTTCTCCATTGTCTTCTTGGGATTTGGAGCACACATGCACATGCTCCTGACGTGATTTTCTTTTCTTTTCTTTCTTTTTTTTTTCATGATAAAGAGTCTTTTACTTTTAAATGATTATCAGTACACTAAGTAATAACTGTAACAAGTTTGTGAATTCTATCATCTAGTATTTTGCTTAAAAGAAACTAAAAGCAGCCCAAACAATTACATTACTAGTCACTATTATAACCTATAGCTGGAATGGACTACTTCAAGGCTGGTTGCTGCTTCACACAGGTTATAAGTAACTATTTGCTACTTTTTTTTTTTTTTTTTTTTTTTTTTTATAGAAAAAGCCCTTGACCTTCAAGAAGGCATTAGGGACAAAAAAATTTAATCCCTGTCTTTCTTCAAAGAACTTCCTTTTTTACTAGATGTAAGAAAGAAAAAGTTAACATTGAGATATGTGTTGCTTGAGCTAAAGGCATAGGAAAACAACATACACCCATTAAATTTCTAGGAAATATGAGGTAAAAAGATGAATTCTTTAGATAAGTTCTAAATCTGTACAAAGAAGCTAGATTTGCTACTCTGCAAAAAGTGATATATAATATACAGAAATAATTTAATGCCTTTCCCAAGAATTTAACTGGAGCTCTGTAAAGCTTCATATTCCACAAGGGCATCTAAAATGCCCATCCATGGTATAGGCACTTTGTTCTTCTATCCATTTATGTGGTAGTTTTCATGGATTTCTGGTCAGATGTCACAGACGAAGGCCAAGAGGTTATCTAAGACTTCATCCCTGTTCTGTAGGAAGTAGTTCTGGAGGACAGTCATTTTCTCTGGGTCTCCTCTACTTCAGTGCTACAACTACCATGGGATCCCATAGCCCCAGCTTTCTTGGCCTTGAACTCTTTCTCCTTCTGCAGACGCTACTGTTCAATTTCAGCCCCAGCTTCTTCTTTGGCCTGCTTCAGCCTCTGGTTCTTTCTCTCTCTCTCTCTTTTTTTTTTTGAGAGGTTTTTGTTTTAGGGCACGTGTGCTCGCCAGAAAGACAGAGAGAGACAGGGACAGAGAGCGAGAAATCACTCCCCAGGGGGGATGGCCATGCTGCAATCCTTTCTCCTCCATTCTCCTCTCAGAATCTCGGGCATGCACGCACACGCGCCCGGTGTGAGTTTAAGCCACTGGGTCCGGGACTCTAACCGTGGTTGACTACATGGGAGTTCAGCGACATAGCCATTACACCAACTTGTGGTCTCAAAAATCTTTTTTTAAGGATTATTTTATTTAACTTAATTTATGTATTTATGTATTTATTTATTTATTTTTGAGAGATTTTCGCTATAGGGCGCGTGCACTCGCCAGACAGACAGAGCGAGACATAGAGACAGAAAGCGAGAAATCACCCCCCGGGGGGGTGGTCACGCCACAGTCCCCTCTCCTCCATTCTCCTCTCGGGATCTTGGGCACGCATGCACACGTGCCTGGCATGAGTTTTAAGCCACTGGGTCCAGGACGTGAACCGTGGTCAACTACGTGGGAGTCCAGCGACATAGCCATTACGCTAACTGCTGGTTCCCGATGTATTTATTTTTTATTTGATTAGAGAGGGACAGAGAGATAGAGAGAGAGAGAGAGAAAGCCGTCAGGTCTGGGACTTGAACTGTGGTCAGCTATGTGAGTTCAGTGCCTCAAACTACCACACCAACTGCTGGTCCCACAAAATTGAAATTCTATACCCATTAAACAACTTCTTTTTCCCTCCCATCCCTGGTAGTCATCATTCTACTTGCTTGTCTTTATTTTTTTTTAAGAGATTTTTGCTGTAGGGTATGTGTGCTCACCAGAGAGACAGAGAGAGATGGAACGAAGTGAGAAATCACCCCCAGTGGAGATGATCATGCCACAATCCCTTTTCCATTCTCTTCTTCAGATTTTGGGCACACACACACAAACACACACCCAGGCCCAACATGAGTTTCAAGCTGCTAGGTCTGGCACTCAGACTGTGGTTGGCCATGTGGGAATCCAGCACCTTAACCACTATGCCACCTGCTGGCCCCTCTACTTTCTGTCTTTATAAGTTTGACTACCTACTGTACTTCATGTAAGTGGAATCATACAATATTTGTCTTTCTGTGAATAGCTTGTTTCACTTAGCATTTTGTCCTCAAAGTTCATCCATGTTATAGCATATGCTAGAATTTCTTTCCTTTTTTTTTTTTTTTTTTAGAGATTTTTGCTATAGGGCACGTAAGCTCGCCAGACAGAGAGAGACAGAGAGACAGTAAGCGAGAAATCACCCCCCAGGGGTGATGACCACGCCCCAATTCCTTCTCCTTCATTCTCCTCTCGGGATCTTGGGCATGCACGCGCACGTCCCCGGCGTGAGTTTTAAGCCACTGGGTCCGGGACGCGAACAGCGGTCAACTATGTGGGAGTCCAGTGACGTAGCCATTGCGCTAACTGCTGGTCCTGAGAATTTCTTTCCTTTTAAGACTTGGTAATAGGGCAGTGACCAAGGATCAGAGCAGTCCTGGGCCATGAAGCTACTGACCAGAGCTGCGACCTTCTCGAGATTTTATTCCCTCAAAGTTGCCCCCAAAGTGAAAGCCACAGCTGAGCCTACTGGAGCTCTTTCACATCCTCAGGACCTTGAGTTTACCAAATTACCTAATGGCTTAGTGATTGCTTCTCTGGAAAACTATGCTCCTGCATCAAGAATTGGGTTGTTAATTAAAGCAGGCAGTAGATATGAGGACTCCAACAACTTGGGAACCTCTCATTTGCTCCGTCTTGCATCCAATTTGACCAAAAAAGGAACATAATCTTTCATGATAACCTGTGGAATTGAAGCAGTTGGTGGTAATTTAAGTGTGACTGCGACATGGGAAAACATGGCTTAAACCGTGGAATGTCTGCAGGATGATGTTGATATTCTGATGGAGTTCCTGCTCAATGTCACCACAGCACCAGAATTTTGTTGATGGGAAGTAGCTGCCCTTCAGTCTCAGGTAAGGGTTCACAAAGCTGTGGCTTTTCAGAATCCACAGGCCTGTGTCATTGAAAATCTACATGCTGCTGCTTACCAAAATGCTTTGGCTAATTCCCTGTATTGTCCTGACTATAGGATTGGAAAAGTGACATCAGAAGAGTTACACTACTATGTTCAGAACCATTTTACAAGTGC